CAGCCTTTCTCTGCTCCCCCACGGCCTAAGCAGCAAATTCTCCCCAGCAACCGGCAATACCTGATCGTACAGGACGAAGAACAGACAACGGAGCACGTCGCCGGCTTCAGCCAGTGATTCGACAGCTTCCATCTCTGCTTCGCCCGCGATGTGAGTGTGGCTGCTGTCTTAATCAATCAATCCAGATCTTCCTGCAGGCAGGCTCTGTGGGGCTCGGCACATGTTGAGTTGATACCGGCCGTGCTGTGGTTGAATCCCCTCTCTGCCGCAGCTTTGTGGACTGTTCGCTCAATCCACCAGTGAAAGGTGGCATCCGTGTAGCCACTGGTCGACAAGCTTCGCGGGGAGTTTCCACCATGCATGACGGAGGAAGAATCGTTCGGGAGACATGTACACCATAGAACGTGGGTGCATGGCATTCAAACAGAGAAAAAAAGAAGTTGGCCAGGGCGGACCGTTGTCTGCCCCAAAGCTGTAACGCTTGGAACTCATAAAAACCCGTGCATGTGTACAGCAGCAGCGGTAGCAGCAGCAGCAGCAGCAGCAGCAGCAGCAGCAGCAGCAGCAGCGGTATAGCAATAGGAGCGGAGTACCAGTCTCTCCCGGCTGTGCGTCTGTGCGGACTTTCAATGTGAGATTACCCATCGATCCATGTTGACACCTGGAAAAATTTTAAGTTGTTGTTACACAGCAGTGCAGTCAGTTCAGCGTCACCCATAATCACATCGTTTCATCTCCAAGAGGGCTCACGATGCGACTGGCGCTTGAGGCTCACTCGGCCACCCAACCACACCCAGCGTGAAATGGTCGCCGCACTCGAAATCCAAACGCACGCTGATATGGTCGAGGTGGTGCATAGCCATCACACATCCGCTTGCTGTGTAAGAATGCCCCGGAAGGGCCTTCAATTTTCCATGAACATCTCCCCGTGTTCCGTGGTTCCGACCAAATCTAACTGCGGTGCAAATTGTGTCGGCACGTGTATCAGTCAATTCTTGTGTTTGGGACAAAAGCACGGGTTACCATCACGCTCACGGTCTCTGGTCTAGGGCGTCTTGCTCAGAAAAGGGGAGACTCAAGTTCAAACAACTACGAAGTTTACTCGGAGTAAAATATGAACGGTGACAGACATTTTTTTTTTTCTTGTATATGGTATATATCTGTCTGTCTGCCCATCTGCCGCCTCTTTGTTCTGTTGGCTCCATTACTCCCATGGCCTGATGCGTAGTACCTGGTGCTGGTACGTTACCCTTTGATTTTTTTAGGCGGGTGTGGGAAGCGTCCTCCTTTATACTTCTTTATTTTGATTTTGTTATATTTTGATCGGATTACGAGGGCTCTGTTCTCAGCAGCTCGGTTCGTAGCTGTTCTTTTTTATCATTTTGTTTTCTTTATCCAAGTGGTTTGTACCCTATTTTTGTTTTGTTTCTCCGCGGCGTCGTATGTACCGGGTTTTTGCGACCACGGGCTCCCCATTTTTGTGAACTATAGAGAGCTAATGTGAGAAACAACAGCAACAACCTCACCGGCGGAAATTACTGCAGTCATCCAAAAAGGCCATTTTTTTTCAGGGATGTACAGTATACCGGTAATTTACCGGGAAAGGGTTGGCGGGGTCGGTAAAGTCGAAATTTGAGGTAATTCTCGACAGTGTCGTCGCCCCCCCCCTCCCCCCATTTGCGTAGCCCCCTCTGCCCCCCCGGTATTTGCCATCGGGATTGGGTTTTCGTTGCTTGCCAATGACGTTGTAAAACAAGCCAAGTCACTTCGTGAACTCGGCAACCAGGTAGCCGTTTCCTTTTATTTACTCTGGTTATTTTTTGGCGGTAACCATCATGGTGGTCGAGTAGATCATGTTGTGCGGGGTCGAGAACCCTCACTCCGCGCAAGGGGGATGATCGCACCACGTTGTGTTAAAATGGTCAAGCACCCTCGAGGCAGTTACACAGTGCTTACAACTGTCTCTGGAAGTGAAAGCACCAGAAAATAAATTAAGTCATACGCAGCTGTCATCCGTACGCAAGGAAGTAAGCACAAGATGCCGAACACCCTTAGCAGGATGCAGCGCACCCTTCATGCGACTCGCCGAATATCTCACGGCGCTTCGCGCTTGGTGATGTGAGAGCCTGGTCCGGTGAGAACCCGGCGTGCTCCGTCCCGGCTTTGTAGGGATGCGAGGTCAATGGTCTAACGACTACGGCATGCACGACTATGAGTACACCCCCCCCACCCCCCTCTGCCCCCACTTCGTCAAGGGGAAAACAGCTGCTGCAGCTTTCCACACTCCACACTGAGTCCTTCCCGAGGTCAGAGTTTAGCACATCTGCAGCAGACCGCCGACACAAACTCTGGAAGACCACAATGAATTCTGGGGGCTCGCTTTCGAGCAGCCCCTTGATACAGGAAAATGTCGAAGGCTGCAAATCACTTCGAGATTTTGTACACGTCACCACAGCGGGGACATCTCAGTCCACCAGCAAGGTCAGGCCTTTCATCTTGGCTCTGTATTGTTTTCTTTTCTGTTGCTGTCTATATGTGGAACGGTAGACTAGGGGTAAGCCACACGAGCAACCCTCCCTGCATCCTACTTACCCGCCCAAACCAACGAACATGTCTGTAGTCAACACCGGAATTTTTCATTCACTGCTGCTGTGAACTGTTTTCTTGGACCACTCTCTCTCAAACACTCTGATAAGGTGCCACACGCCAACAACTAGGGGGTCAGCATTAGCTAGTCAGCATCTAAGCAATACCACTGCTGTTTCGGGTGGTGCAGCAGCGCTCCGGAAAGCACACAGCACATATGAACGACACGGCTGGAATACCCGGGGACAGTCGTTTTTCATCCCCGATTTGGCGGAATACCGGTCGGTAATAACGCCGATTGCTGGTTTGCGGCAAATGACCGGTCGTTGAAGGGGTCTGACCCGGGTACTGCACATGCTGGGTTTTTTGCGTGATGAGTGGACGGACCACTTTTGTTGGCACCGTCTTGCCCAATGCCATTCTAGACCCTCTCTCCTTGCCTAGTTCTCAATGGAGAAAGCCCGCGTGCCCTCGGTAGTGAACTGAATCTACCTCGCTCGGCGTTTTGAATTCTCCCGCCACGACGCCTGCGGAAGGAGCGTTCGACTTGTTGATTATTTTTGCCAGAAATCTCGGGCCTCGAGATCACTGGGACCCCCCTGACCATCCAGCCAAAGAAAGCGAAATTTAAGAACACAGACAGCCATTCTGAATTAATTGTCGTCCAATAGAGGTATAGGGTCTATCTGCCGGCATGCAAACGTTGAGGTCAAACTCGACAAACGCTTGAGTGGGCATGTCGAATTGTACGAGAGTCCACGGAGAGCTTGATAGCTTTCAGGTACAGGAACTATCTCCTCCGTTACAACTCGTTTTACATGGAAACTGACAGTTCCGGGATATTGTTGCAAGAATCCACTGTGGTGTGTCGCCTCGTTGATGTACATTTGATATGTGGCTCTTGATCACCACAACGGCAGTATATTTTTTGCATGTTTCTTGACGTATTTTGTATCGCCTGTTGGGCGTAGGATCTATCCTGTGCGCGGGGCCGGGACAAGATTGTAACAAAGATCAGCTGAACAACAATTTGTATGTTTCTTAACCCACCCGGCATTCTGCAGAGTTGGAGCACGGTAAATATAGTCTAGAGTCATTTCAAAGGGAGGCGCAAGGGAAACCATCACGACTTCATGTTTTTCCATATCTGTGCATTCGGTCAGGTGATTTCTGACGACGAGCTGCGGAAACAAGCAAGGCACTGCTCCTTACCAGTACCACCCCCGTTCCTTCCCTGTTGCTCGGCTGATTCACCGTTGGCTGTTTCAGGTCTGCCTCTTTCGGCGGACTTGTCGCGATGATCGGGCCTTCCACCCCCCAAGGTCTGTCGACCGACCTTGGCAACAACAACAACAACAACAACAACAACAACAACAACAACAACAACAACAACAACAACAACAACAAGGGCAGCAACGACGACGATGACATCAACTCCAGCAGCAACAACAAAACGAAGAAGACCACCGACTACACCAACAACGGCTCCACCAGCAGCAGCAACATCAACACCAACAATACCGCTATCGAAGGCAACAACGGGAACGATAACAACGACAACACGCGTGAATCTTGTGTCTCGCCGATGGTGAAGGTGAGACGAGAACAGGACCACAGCACTGTAGCATGGTCCAGTGCTGTCGTAACATGTTCTTCGAAAGGCGGCTTTGGAAGCCAGGAAAAGCTGTCCGACCGATCGAAGCGGTGGATAGGATGGTTGATGGCGGAATTGTGTTCGATCTCGCTCCTTTGTAGTTCGATCGACCCTTGCGCCGCTCTGAAATCAATGCAAGCACAGAGTCCTTTTTATCGGCGGGGAATAAGTCGCGAGAATCAGCAGCACTTGCATCACCACGAAACGTTTCAAGGGACAGACAAGCAAGCACACGTTGAGAATAGTCTGCGTGTTCTGGAGGTGTGCATACAGTTGGCGTGACGTTCCGCTTTTCGGGTTCTCGTCGTCTATCGTCGTGGCCTATGTCTCTCCGATTGCACCGTGAAGCTGTGAAGGCCCACTCCTTCTACCAGGGGCGGACTCGTACGACACGACTCCTTTCCCATCAACCCGGCCAACTCAAGGGAGGCGGAGAAACTCACCGAGAGAGGCCCCTTGGGTACTGAAAGAAACAAGAGATTACCCATGCACCGACAAGGAACAATGGCGTGGCCGAATCCTGATTGAAGTAAGCTATGTCCGGGCGCAGGCACTGTACGTCACCACCTCTGCCTCCCCCGATCAAACCACAGCAGCACCGGGTCAAACTGCGTCTGTATCTGGCGCTTTCCCGCCCATCTACATTGTCTCAAAACTATATACCTCTCTATCCCGACTGCAGGGCCCCTATCCGGCAGGACCGTCCTCTTCCCCGTCAGGCACAGTCACGGCGCCACCCTCGGCGGCCTCCGCGATATCAATGACCTCGCCCGCAAGAAATGATCCGGGAGATGATGTGGAGTTGGGGGAGCTCCTGGGTGGCGAGCTCCACGACTTTGACGACGAGGGCTGGAGCCCAGAAGACGCAGACCTGATCGCTGCCTTCCTTGAAGGTAATGATAGCAAATAGTACCATTAAGGTGGCGTTCTTGCGCACCAGAATGGAAAGCACTCAGTCAACAAGGCGTCACTTTCACAGGGGGGACGGAGCTTGGGAACCGAGAGGATATATATTCAAGAGAAAACATGCGGATGCCTGCCATAGAACGCGCTTAATCAACATCAACTTCCCAGGCGGGATTCTGACGACAGGGTGTTGTTTGCTATTTAGTTGAGATTCATCTGCAACTCTACGTGTTGGTGTCGGTGGTGCTGCTGGTGTTGCGCTTCAATCGTCTTTCGCAAGTTGACACCTGGTGTGAGCAAAAGGTCTCTCACGACGCCAGTATGTTGCAGTAATGACGATCGCTTAAAACCAATACGTGTCTCATTTTGGTTTCGTACGAAGTGGTGCGTGCAGCGCTTTTCCTTGATCGCGGAGGGTGTCTGGTCCTGCATTTTCTCCCTCTTGCACACTGTTTGACGTTTGTACAAGCGCACACGTTACGAGCCGCCATACACCACCAACCTGATTGAATGATTTCTTCTTCTCGCCGCCGCAGACGACTTCTCCGGCGAAATAATGTTCGGTCTGGACACCACCTCATCTCCGACCGCCGCAAGCGCCGTGNACTGGCTGTTTCTTCGACGCCCGCAGCACCGATTACATCGACGACAGCGACACCTTCGTTCGCCCCTAGCCCAGATTCGGTGGCAGTGGCGGCGGCAGCGGTGGCGGCGGCAACAGCAGCGCCTTCGAAGCTTTCGACCTCGGCTTTCGCTGTCAGCCCGGTGCTGGGTACGCCATCCACCAGCGACGGCATCAATCACGCGCTGGCGATGGCCATCCAGGCCCTCACGATCGCCAACAGAGCAGCGGACGACAGTCGCCTGGCGAGTTCTCCGGAGACGATGAGCGGGAACAAGCAGGAAAGACTCGCCACCGCGTTGGCCGAGTATACGGAGGAGATGTCGATGGCTGCCCCTCGTACGTCTGCGACGGAGATGATAGACGCCGCGTTGGCTGCCTGCATGGAACAACTCTTGTTCCTGGAGGAGCGGACGTTCGCTGAAAAAGAGACCGCGTTCAGCGATGAGGTGGCAGTGCGGGCGGACCTGGGACGGGCCATGATGGCGCTCAACCACGAGAAGAGGAAGAGGAAGAGGGAGGCGGAGATCCGGGCAATCATCGGTCATGTCCGGAAGCGGCGGTCGAAACGGATCCGCTCGGCGGCCCTCTCCAACGTTCGGAAGGAGCGAGACGCCAGGCCGGTGTGGGACCACTTCTGCTTGAGGGAGATGTGGAAAGCGGGTGAAATCGTGACCCTGTGAGGGTGCGTACCCCTTGTCCGAAGCAGAAGCAACTCGTTGAGAATGGGGAACAGGTCTGCGATTGGTGTGCTTGTCGCTGGAATAGTTGTCGGCGTGTGAGTTCGACGGACAGCTTCATGGCTTACCGAGGTTGGTGTGGCTCGTGGTAGCGTGCTTCGACGGTGTGCACCCGTCGCTTGGGGGAAGGTGTTCCAACGAAAGGCGTGACCTACATGGTGTGGTGTATTCCATCCCGTGGAGAGGCTGGAGGGAGTGGGTCGAGTGGACGAGAGGTCGGAATTTGACCAAGAACGTCTGACACTTGGGGGTTCAGGCGAAAAGGATCACGGTGGTGATGAGACGTCCTCGGAGGGTGTTTTTGCTGAATCAGTGTGAACAGCGAATCGTGGACGTGTGGCGAATCCCGTGGTACCCTCTCGGGTTTGGTGCGGCAGGCTAGGCATGCGATGATGTTGTGATTGATTTGTTTGTGAGCGCGGGGCAGTACAGTGTAGTACTCGATTTTTTTAACTGTTTGATTTTTTCATGTGTTTGGAAGTTGCGTCGCGTGCCGCTGTCTGTCGTGGTGTACATGTCTTGTCGTTCAGGCGTCTTATGCATACACCAGCTTGGATATGTTTGCCAGTGGGTGGAGAGGTGAGACTAGAGTGGGGAAACTACGGGGCACTGACACTTGGGGGGTATTGTAGTCGCACCAGGACGAAGGAGGTAGCGTGCGATTCATCGCCATCGTATCCAGTCCCTCGCTGTCTGCTGCATAATGCACAATCGTGGAACCACTTTACCGGAATAAGGACGGACGAGGCGTGATGGGTGTTGACTGCCACTTGCATGTCTGACGGCTCCACGCGAAGAAATGAAGTTTGAATGAAAGCGGAAGTGGGCGGAGTTAGGGAGGCAGTTGGGAGGGTGATGAGCTGTACCTACCCTTTGTGTGCCACCTAGATCTGGCAATAAGCAGAGAGCACTGTCTACGTAGAGTGATAGATGTTGGATTAAACGATACTAGCGTTACAGTCGTGTCGAAACGTGTGTTGATTTTGGTTCNTATGGCAATAAGCAGAGAGCACTGTCTACGTAGAGTGATAGATAGATGTTGGATTAACGATACTAGCGTTACAGTCGTGTCGAAACGTGTGTTGATTTTGGTTCAATGTAATCAACAGTTGCAGGCGAACACAAGCCACCCCTCGCGCAACATGCAACAATCAGGATAGAGATGAGAGTTGAACGTGTGCGTGGTTGCTTTTTTCAGAGTGTGAAACTCGTGCCTGTTGGTACACTCAATGAAAAATAAATGTATGTGGTGATGTTACCAGTTGCATTCGCGCTGTTGTCGTTTGAGGTGTGTAAAGTATTTGCCGTGGCGCTTGTTTGGATTGTCAAGGGCGTTCGTAATGGTGAAACGGCGCCAGAGCCCTTGTATTGCCCAAGGAGGTGTGGGAGGGGGGAGATGAGAGATTCCTACGGGCCTATTGTGAAGTGATGCGACTCAAAGGGTATNATAATGTATGTGGTGATGTTACCAGTTACATTCGCGCTGTTGTTGTCGTTTGAGGTGTGTAAATTATCTGCCGTGGCGTCTTGTTTGGATTGTCAGGGGCGCTCGTAATGGTGGAACGGCGCCAGAGCCCTTGTATTGCCCAAGGAGGTGTGGGAGGGGGGGGGTGAGAGATTCCTACGGGCCTATTGTGAAGTGATGCGACTCAAAGGGTATGTGTCCAACCCGTGTGTCGATGTTCTGTTTTTTTTTGCGAAACGACGCCTGCCAATGTTGCGATAGTTATAGAAAGCCGCGTTTGTTTGAATTAGAGGCGACAATTTCGACGCAGTAGCAATCGTTTTCAAATCTGATTCGTCGGCATGCTGTGGCCGCAAGTCTTAGGAAGACTTTTCCATCTCCTTTGCGCAGACACAGCCGTCGACACATCTCTTTTGGGATTGATTTTCGGTTTCTTCCTGAGATGGCTCTGTTGTTTTTCTGGTGCGAGTTCATCGGTGGGATCGATATGTAGACCAGGGCTGAGGTCGATCGTGATTGTTTATTTTGTGCCTCAACAATCGTTTTCAAGTCAGATTCGTCGGCGTCTTGTGGCTGCAAGTCTTAGGAACACTTTTCAATCTCCTTTGCGCTGCCACAACCGTTGACTTGTCTGTTTTGGGATCGATGTTTGGTTTATGCCTGTGATGGCTCTGGATTGTTGCTGGTGCGAGTCAATGGGTGGGACGATATGTAGACCAAGGCTGAAGTCCATCGTTATTTTTTTGTTTCGTGCCTCAACAATCGGTATCAAATCTGATTCGTCGGCGTCTTGTGGCTGCAAGTCTTAGGCAGACTTTTCCATCTCCTTTGCGCAGCCACAACCGTTGGCTTGTCTTTTTTGGGATCGATTATTGGCTTATTCCTGAGACGAGCTTGTTTAGTGTCTGGTGTGAGCCTATGGCCGAGGGCTGACGTCATGTTTTAATTTGGTTNTTGATGTGCAGTTTTTTTTGCGAAACGACGCCTGCCACTGTTGCGACAGTTATAGAAAGCCGCGTTTGTTTGAATTAGAGGCGACAATCTCGACGTAGAAACAATCGTTTTCAAATCTGATTCGTCGGCATGCTGTGGCCGCAAGTCTTGGGAAGACTTTTCCATCTCCTTTGCGCAGACACAATCGATGACTTGTCTATTGTAGGATCGATTATTGGTTTCTTCCTGTGATGGCTCTGGATTTGGTGCGAGTTCATCGGTGGGATCGAAATGTAGACCAGGGCTGAGGTCGATCGTGATTTTTTATTTTGTGCCTCAACAATCGTTTTCAAGTCAGATTCGTCGGCATCTTGTGGCTGCAAGTCTTAGGAAGACTTTTCCATCTCCTTTGCGCTGCCACAACCGTGGACTTATCTGTTTTAGGATCGATGTTTGGTTTATGCCTGTGATGGCTCTGGATTGTTGCTGGTGCGAGTCAATGGGTGGGACGATATGTAGACCAAGGCTGAAGTCCATCGTTATTTTTTTGTTTCGTGCCTCAACAATCGGTATCAAATCTGATTCGTCGGCGTCTTGTGGCTGCAAGTCTTAGGCAGACTTTTCCATCTCCTTTGCGCAGCCACAACCGTTGGCTTGTCTTTTTTGGGATCGATTATTGGCTTATTCCTGAGACGAGCTTGTTTAGTGTCTGGTGTGAGCCTATGGCCGAGGGCTGACGTCATGTTTTAATTTGGTTGCCTTGACAATCGTGTTTCAAGTCAGATTCGTCGTCTTGTGGCTGCAAGTCTTGGGAAGACTTTTCCATCTTCTTTGCGCAGTCACAATCGATGAGTTGTCTATTGTAGAATCGATTATTGGTTTCTTCCTGTGATGGCTCTGGATTGTTGCTGGTGCGAGTCAATGGGTTGGATCGGTATGTAGAGGTCGATCGTTNCTTGTGGCTGCAAGTCTTGGGAAGACTTTTCCATCTTCTTTGCGCAGTCACAATCGATGAGTTGTCTATTGTAGAATCGATTATTGGTTTCTTCCTGTGATGGCTCTGGATTGTTGCTGGTGCGAGTCAATGGGTTGGATCGGTATGTAGAGGTCGATCGTTGATTTTGTGCCGTAACAATCGTTTTTCAAACCTGATTCGTCGGCGTGTTGTGATTGCAAGTCTTCGGAAGACTTTTCCATCTCCCTTGCGCAGCCACAACCGTTGGCTTGTATTTTTTTGGGATCGATTATTGGCTTATTCCTGAGACGAGCTTGTTTAGTTTCTGGTGTGAGCCTATGGCCGAGGGCTGACGTCATGTTTTAATTTGGTTGCCTTGACAATCGTGTTTCAAGTCAGATTCGTCGTCATCTTGTTCCTGCAAGTCTTGGGAAGACTTTTCCATCTCCTCTGCGCAGTCACAATCGATGGCTTGTCTGTTTTGGGGTCTATTTTGGGCTTGCTCCTGAGATGGCTCTGGTTTTGCTGGTGCGAGTCAATGGGTTGGATCGGTATGTAGAGGTCGATCGTTGATTTTGTGCCGTAACAATCGTTTTTCAAACCTGATTCGTCGGCGTGTTGTGATTGCAAGTCTTCGGAAGACTTTTCCATCTCCCTTGCGCAGCCACAACCGTTGGCATGTCTTTTTTGGGGTCGATTATTGGCTTATTCCTGAGACGAGCTTGTTTAGTTTCTGGTGTGAGCCTATGGCCGAGGGCTGACGTCATGTTTTAATTTGGATTGCCTTGACAATCGTGTTTCAAGTCAGATTCGTCGTCATCTTGTTGCTGCAAGTCTTGGGAAGACTTTTCCATCTTCTTTGCGCAGTCACAATCGATGGCTTGTCTGTTTTGGGATCTGGGCTTGCTCCTGAGATGGCTCTGGTTTTGCTGGTGCGAGTCAATGGGTTGGATCGGTATGTAGAGGTCGATCGTTGATTTTGTGCCGTAACAATCGTTTTTCAAGTCAGATTCGTCGGCGTGTTGTGATTGCAAGTCTTGGGAAGACTTTTCCATCTTCTTTGCGCAGCCACATTCGATGACTTGTCTCGTTGGGGATCGATTGTTAGTTTCTATATTAGATGGCTCTGGTTTTACTGGTGCGAGTCAATGGGTGGGATTGACATGTAGACCAGGGCTGAGGTCGATCGTGATTGTTTATTTCGTGCCTCAACAATCGTTTTTCAAGTCAGATTCGTCGGCGACTTGTGCCTGCAAGTCTTGGGAAGTCTTTTCCATCTCCTTTGCGCAGCCACATTCGATGACTTGTCTCGTTGGGGATCGATTGTTGGTTTCTTCCTTAGATGGCTCTGGTTTTACTGGTGCGAGTCAATGGGTGGGATTGACATGTAGACCAGGGCTGAGGTCGATCGTAATTGTTTATTTCGTGCCTCAACAATCGTTTTTCAAGTCAGATTCGTCGGCGACTTGTGCCTGCAAGTCTTGGGAAGTCTTTTCCATCTCCTTTGCGCAGCCACATTCGATGACTTGTCTCGTTGGGGATCGATTGTTGGTTTCTTCCTTAGATGGCTCTGGTTTTACTGGTGCGAGT